ATGTCTCTCACACAATCCTCACCACATGTCCCTCACACAATCCTCACCACATGTCCCTCACACAATCCTCACCACATGTCCCTCACACAATCCTCACCACATGTCCCTCACACAATCCTCACCACATGTCCCTCACACAATCCTCACCACATGTCTCTCACACAATCCTCACCACATGTCTCTCACACAATCCTCACCACATGTCTCTCACACAATCCTCACCACATGTCCCTCACACAATCCTCACCACATGTCTCTCACACAATCCTCACCACATGTCCCTCACACAATCCTCACCACATGTCCCTCACACAATCCTCACCACATGTCCCTCACACAATCCTCACCACATGTCCCTCACACAATCCTCACCACATGTCCCTCACACAATCCTCACCACATGTCCCTCACACAATCCTCACCACATGTCCCTCACACAATCCTCACCACATGTCCCTCACACAATCCTCACCACATGTCTCTCACACAATCCTCACCACATGTCCCTCACACAATCCTCACCACATGTCCCTCACACAATCCTCACCACATGTCCCTCACACAATCCTCACCACATGTCCCTCACACAATCCTCACCTGTTCCTGTTTCCTTGGGAACTTGTCTGTAGAAGTTGGAAGCAGTGTCATCTCTAAGAAACTGGATCTTTTTCACCGTGACGTTCCAGCAGTTACTATTTACTTTAACGTTGAGGACCTGTTCTCCGTTTAGGTGGACAACTACATTGTCGTTGATCTTCATGATCTGGAACACAGACTCTAAATCATCAAATGGGAGTATCCTCCTAAACATGGTCAGTGTATCGGAACACGTCGGTATCTTGTATCCGTCCATCTGTAGGAAAATTCCCCCAACTATTGCTTCATCCTCCGAGAAGTAGTTGATATGAACGTTATCAATATTTTTCTCTTTTATCTTGAACTGGAGTACGTTATTATCCAGGTCCACGCTGATCATCCCGCTGGGTTTATCTGTTAACTCCGTCCACTCTGAAATTGGAAAGTTAATGGCTCTGTTAACTCCGTCCACTCTGAAATTGGAAAGTTAATGGCTCTGTTAACTCCGTCCACTCTGAAATTGTAAAGTTAATGGCTCTGTTAACTCCGTCCACTCTGAAATTGGAAAGTTAATGGCTCTGTTAACTCCGTCCACTCTGAAATTGTAAAGTTAATGGCTCTGTTAACTCCGTCCACTCTGAAATTGGAAAGTTAATGGCTCTGTTAACTCCGTCCACTCTGAAATTGGAAAGTTAATGGCTCTGTTAACTCCGTCCACTCTGAAATTGTAAAGTTAATGGCTCTGTTAACTCCGTCCACTCTGAAATTGGAAAGTTAATGGCTCTGTTAACTCCGTCCACTCTGAAATTGGAAAGTTAATGGCTCTGTTAACTCCGTCCACTCTGAAATTGTAAAGTTAATGGCTCTGTTAACTCCGTCCACTCTGAAATTGGAAAGTTAATGGCTCTGTTAACTCCGTCCACTCTGAAATTGGAAAGTTAATGGCTCTGTTAACTCCGTCCACTCTGAAATTGGAAAGTTAATGGCTCTGTTAACTCCGTCCACTCTGAAATTGGAAAGTTAATGGCTCTGTTAACTCCGTCCACTCTGAAATTGGAAAGTTAATGGCTCTGTTAACTCCGTCCACTCTGAAATTGGAAAGTTAATGGCTCTGTTAACTCCGTCCACTCTGAAATTGTAAAGTTAATGGCTCTGTTAACTCCGTCCACTCTGAAATTGTAAAGTTAATGGCTCTGTTAACTCCGTCCACTCTGAAATTGGAAAGTTAATGGCTCTGTTAACTCCGTCCACTCTGAAATTGTAAAGTTAATGGCTCTGTTAACTCCGTCCACTCTGAAATTGGAAAGTTAATGGCTCTGTTAACTCCGTCCACTCTGAAATTGTAAAGTTAATGGCTCTGTTAACTCCGTCCACTCTGAAATTGGAAAGTTAATGGCTCTGTTAACTCCGTCCACTCTGAAATTGGAAAGTTAATGGCTCTGTTAACTCCGTCCACTCTGAAATTGGAAAGTTAATGGCTCTGTTAACTCCGTCCACTCTGAAATTGGAAAGTTAATGGCTCTGTTAACTCCGTCCACTCTGAAATTGGAAAGTTAATGGCTCTGTTAACTCCGTCCACTCTGAAATTGGAAAGTTAATGGCTCTGTTAACTCCGTCCACTCTGAAATTGGAAAGTTAATGGCTCTGTTAACTCCGTCCACTCTGAAATTGTAAAGTTAATGGCTCTGTTAACTCCGTCCACTCTGAAATTGTAAAGTTAATGGCTCTGTTAACTCCGTCCACTCTGAAATTGGAAAGTTAATGGCTCTGTTAACTCCGTCCACTCTGAAATTGGAAAGTTAATGGCTCTGTTAACTCCGTCCACTCTGAAATTGGAAAGTTAATGGCTCTGTTAACTCCGTCCACTCTGAAATTGGAAAGTTAATGGCTCTGTTAACTCCGTCCACTCTGAAATTGTAAAGTTAATGGCTCTGTTAACTCCGTCCACTCTGAAATTGGAAAGTTAATGGCTCTGTTAACCCCGTCCACTCTGAAATTGGAAAGTTAATGGCTCTGTTAACTCCGTCCACTCTGAAATTGCAAAGTTAATGGCTCTGTTAACTCCGTCCACTCTGAAATTGGAAAGTTAATGGCTCTGTTAACTCCGTCCACTCTGAAATTGGAAAGTTAATGGCTCTGTTAACCCCGTCCACTCTGAAATTGGAAAGTTAATGGCTCTGTTAACTCCGTCCACTCTGAAATTGGAAAGTTAATGGCTCTGTTAACTCCGTCCACTCTGAAATTGGAAAGTTAATGGCTCTGTTAACTCCGTCCACTCTGAAATTGTAAAGTTAATGGCTCTGTTAACCCCGTCCACTCTGAAATTGTAAAGTTAATGGCTCTGTTAACTCCGTCCACTCTGAAATTGGAAAGTTAATGGCTCTGTTAACTCCGTCCACTCTGAAATTGGAAAGTTAATGGCTCTGTTAACTCCGTCCACTCTGAAATTGGAAAGTTAATGGCTCTGTTAACTCCGTCCACTCTGAAATTGGAAAGTTAATGGCTCTGTTAACTCCGTCCACTCTGAAATTGTAAAGTTAATGGCTCTGTTAACTCCGTCCACTCTGAAATTGTAAAGTTAATGGCTCTGTTAACTCCGTCCACTCTGAAATTGGAAAGTTAATGGCTCTGTTAACCCCGTCCACTCTGAAATTGTAAAGTTAATGGCTCTGTTAACTCCGTCCACTCTGAAATTGTAAAGTTAATGGCTCTGTTAACTCCGTCCACTCTGAAATTGGAAAGTTAATGGCTCTGTTAACTCCGTCCACTCTGAAATTGTAAAGTTAATGGCTCTGTTAACCCCGTCCACTCTGAAATTGTAAAGTTAATGGCTCTGTTAACTCCGTCCACTCTGAAATTGGAAAGTTAATGGCTCTGTTAACTCCGTCCACTCTGAAATTGTAAAGTTAATGGCTCTGTTAACTCCGTCCACTCTGAAATTGTAAAGTTAATGGCTCTGTTAACTCCGTCCACTCTGAAATTGGAAAGTTAATGGCTCTGTTAACTCCGTCCACTCTGAAATTGGAAAGTTAATGGCTCTGTTAACTCCGTCCACTCTGAAATTGGAAAGTTAATGGCTCTGTTAACTCCGTCCACTCTGAAATTGTAAAGTTAATGGCTCTGTTAACTCCGTCCACTCTGAAATTGGAAAGTTAATGGCTCTGTTAACTCCGTCCACTCTGAAATTGGAAAGTTAATGGCTCTGTTAACTCCGTCCACTCTGAAATTGGAAAGTTAATGGCTCTGTTAACTCCGTCCACTCTGAAATTGTAAAGTTAATGGCTCTGTTAACTCCGTCCACTCTGAAATTGTAAAGTTAATGGCTCTGTTAACTCCGTCCACTCTGAAATTGGAAAGTTAATGGCTCTGTTAACTCCGTCCACTCTGAAATTGGAAAGTTAATGGCTCTGTTAACTCCGTCCACTCTGAAATTGGAAAGTTAATGGCTCTGTTAACTCCGTCCACTCTGAAATTGTAAAGTTAATGGCTCTGTTAACTCCGTCCACTCTGAAATTGTAAAGTTAATGGCTCTGTTAACTCCGTCCACTCTGAAATTGGAAAGTTAATGGCTCTGTTAACTCCGTCCACTCTGAAATTGGAAAGTTAATGGCTCTGTTAACTCCGTCCACTCTGAAATTGTAAAGTTAATGGCTCTGTTAACTCCGTCCACTCTGAAATTGTAAAGTTAATGGCTCTGTTAACTCCGTCCACTCTGAAATTGTAAAGTTAATGGCTCTGTTAACTCCGTCCACTCTGAAATTGGAAAGTTAATGGCTCTGTTAACTCCGTCCACTCTGAAATTGTAAAGTTAATGGCTCTGTTAACTCCGTCCACTCTGAAATTGGAAAGTTAATGGCTCTGTTAACCCCGTCCACTCTGAAATTGTAAAGTTAATGGCTCTGTTAACTCCGTCCACTCTGAAATTGGAAAGTTAATGGCTCTGTTAACTCCGTCCACTCTGAAATTGGAAAGTTAATGGCTCTGTTAACTCCGTCCACTCTGAAATTGTAAAGTTAATGGCTCTGTTAACTCCGTCCACTCTGAAATTGTAAAGTTAATGGCTCTGTTAACTCCGTCCACTCTGAAATTGGAAAGTTAATGGCTCTGTTAACTCCGTCCACTCTGAAATTGGAAAGTTAATGGCTCTGTTAACTCCGTCCACTCTGAAATTGTAAAGTTAATGGCTCTGTTAACTCCGTCCACTCTGAAATTGTAAAGTTAATGGCTCTGTTAACTCCGTCCACTCTGAAATTGTAAAGTTAATGGCTCTGTTAACTCCGTCCACTCTGAAATTGGAAAGTTAATGGCTCTGTTTATCGGGACATTTATAAATTGAAAACTTAAACATGTCTCTATTGTTTAATTTAATTCGTTATTCAACAGCTACAGTCATAACTAATTTATTAATTAACGTCTGTTGTCAGGTAATTGGTAGGAACACAGGGTCCATCTACATCCCGCATGGAGTCAATGTCCCCGCCTTGGACCGAGAAAAGAAGTGGGAGTTTACACCTGATCCTAGTGTAACTGTTGGCTGCCACATCACCGGTTTGTTCTGATTAGTAGAAGTTTTAAAGTTTACGTTTTAAAGTTTTGACTTTTTTAGCTTTGCAAATAAATTTCAGACGAATTTTAACTGCAAGTAAATGTCCGTTTCACTACGTTCCTAAATTCTGTTATTTTACCTCGTGTCTTTCAGGAGGTCACGTGTTTGGCACCGTGCCAGAAAACACCCTCATAACCCAGAAGATAATGTTAATTCCTAACGCTAAAGGAATTGTAACATTCATTGCCCCTAAAGGGAAGTACACTGTGATAGACACTGTGTTGGAGATAGAGTTCGAGGGAAAGAAGTCCCAACATTCCATGATGCAGGTAATACAGCCCCCCGGCCCCCCCCCCCCTCGTCCTCGCCCCCTGCCCAGTGCTCCCCTCCCCCTCTTGCAGGTGGGTTGTAATACAGCCCCCTCCCCCCCCCCCTCGTCCTCGCCGTTATTATGTATAATCACTAACAGTATATATAACCAGGTTAATATGTATAACCACTAACAGTATATATAACCAGGTTTGGCCGGTGAGAACTCCCCGCCCAGTAGCGGAGAAGTTAGCAGCCAACAACCCGCTCCTTACTGGACAGCGAGTACTGGACGCCCTATTCCCGTTAGTTAATCTATCTTGAGGAACTTCTTATACTGTATTCAGGGGTGCCCCCCCCCCCCCCCCCACTCCTGTATATATTATATTATATTATCAGGAGCGGTTCGGGTTCAAACATGCAGCCAAAATCATATTGCCGAGTAGAGCTGCCTTTGGGTAGTTCTTTTTAATCTATTACAATTGTAAATGAATGGGAAAAGCGAGCGACCGATTTCATTCTCGGTATCATTTTTCATTTGCAGACGGTCAATAAAATGAATGTCATTTCCTTTTGTTTGGGAAAGAGAGACACTGGCAGCGGTCCACTCTACCCATGATTATGGATTTTGGTCAAATATCATCACTTTTTTATTATAATGTCAGGGTACTTTATAAAGTCGAAATATAAACTGATATCTTCATTCATAAGGAGGAAGTTTCAACGATTTCGAAATTTTTCCTTTGAAAACATTCCCTTTTGTTTAGGTAAGCATATCGGTCGATCACTGACTGAACATGCCACATTATACTCATTCAAGTTGGCATTAAATCCATATATAATGACATTGAATTGTCGTGGCAAAGCAGAATTTGTTCGAAATCACGAATGAGCAAAATTCTCACCTTTCGCACGTGCAAACTTTGAGCGGACGTTGCTTGCGCATCCAATATTGAATCACCTTAAATTTTCGCATATTCGTAATCTAACTAATAATCCCAGAATGTGTGTTTTCTGTCTGTCTGTCTGTCTGTCTGTCTGTTTGTAATTTCCGAGCGGCTTAATCAAGAAAACGGTAAGAGTTGAGGGACTAATTTTTTCGGTAAAGTGCCGACAAAACTCTGACGAAGTTAAATGATAAAGGTTTTTTAAATCAGTCGTTGGTAAGTGGTTTAATTGATGGTTTTGTACCACAAATGTTACATAAAATTGCTTGAGCAGAACGGTAAGAGTTACGGGGCTCGCATATGTAGCTGCATAATTAGTGTAATTGAGTTACCCGGGTAAGATTCGCTGTCTATACTATAATCTTATTAGGGGAGGGGGCACTGTTTGGACTGCAGAGAGAGAGTTCATACTTTCTAACTTTCATACGACAATGTTATGCGTGTTCACAAATATGATAGGCGGGTGTGGTGTTAAGGGTTAATTTCTATTGATTATTGTTTAAGATACTATTACTATTGTTTAAGATACCATTGGATACGTGAGGGCACTCCGAATAGAATTGCTCACCTAATGCGGGTTTTGACTCAACGGGTAAATGCTCCTACCCTTTTTAACTGCGGCAGTGAAATCCCGGCCGAAGGCCGGGTTACACTAGTTTATGTATAAGTGTATAGTTTGATAAGCATGCACAGTTTTAAAGTATTTCAAGAAGAACTGTAATCACAACGGCACTCCATTCTCCAAGTTGACAGAAAATGGTGAAAACAGCAATTTTCAGTGATTTTAGTAGTTTTCTATCAATTTGGGTGTGTCCTCACGTGTGCAACTTTTCGATTTTCAACTTTAGAACTAGCCTAATGCACAATTTGTACCAATAGAAACAGAACTGAGCTCAGCAACCCAAGGCATGGCCCAACACCAGAGAAAACTAAATCGCAAAATTTACTCCATATATTGAATTGATATAGCTGGAATGTTGATACATAAAGTGTATGAAATAATCAGACTCACTCAAAGAACAGTCACTTTCTGAACTACCGTCACCAGGTGCCACTGTTTTCCCAGTAGGACAGTTAGAACACATTGAAACAGTTCCTCCAGGGCTGTATGTTCCTTCTTCACATGGTGTACATCCTTTCTCTTGGTCATGGTACTTGCCACCTTCACAGGGATCTGAGGTTGAACAAATTGTTATCTTTAACTCTACTATAACAGCACAGTCAGCAAAAAAACAAAATTAAGTGGCCACAAAGGTCGTAAGGTTCATTAATTCTATTGCGCATATTATCAGAACGTCAATCTCAATACATCTGTTTATAAGGTCATCTAGTTAATAAGGTCTGTTGTACACTTACTCCAGGAGCAGTCATTCTCCGAGCTCCCTTGTCCTGCTGCAACAGATTTACCAACAGGACAGCTAACACAAGAGGAAACTGTTCCTCCAGGACTGTAGGTCCCGATTTCGCAGCTCTGACATTCTGTTGCCTGGTTCAGATATTGACCTCCGTTACAGTTTTCTGGGAAATAGGAAGGTAAATATTAAGTGAAAATAACTTTAGCAAAGTTTAAAAGTCATAAAAGCTGTCCTTGTCTCAAAAAGGATGAGAAATTCAGAAATAAGTTTGAAATGTTTCAAACTTTTCCCAAACTTGTCTTTTTATACAAAAACTTTATTTCGTAAGGCGCTGCTCTTATTTCCTTACTAATTTTCACTAACCTTCACACCCTGCCCCCTCAACTAACAGTTCTCCCTCGTCACATGTCTGGCACGTGTACCATACTGCCAGTTTCTTCCGCCGAAACAAACATGGATCACCATAGAAACTATAAGGGCTCGTGTTTATCGAACATGATCCCTGTGAGAGCAGCAGGTCGTGAGGATGACGAAACGGTTTACCGTGGCCGTTTTGGGAGTTATATTATTAGAAGTTTAGAAGAATGTCGATTCTTGAAAGAAATCAAAACTTTTAACTCCTTAAATTGTCTATGATCTCATTAGTTTAATGTTTTATGTCTCATTACACATTTTCTTTAATGTCTCCAAACCTTATAATCGCAGTGATCCCTAGTTTTAGTAAACGCATCTGGAAGTGGACTACATAACGATGCATAAGGTGCCCAGTATTTTGCGGTCTCTATCTCTAGGTATTCTCCATCATCACACGACAGGGTTAGAATTAAGTTTTCCCATATCTCTTCATCTGGTGTGGAACAATATCATAATAGTTGTTTTGTACAGACTACAGTAAATGTATTGTAAAACTTCTGACAGACCTGATGATTTGAAACAAAAACAGAGTCCCAAATTAATCGCGGTTTAAAGTCGTTAAATTGATATTGTTCAAACAGAATGTAAAAGTCCGTCAAATTTCCGATTCCTTTTAAAAACTACTCGAAAAATAATGTCTTTACCATTATTACATCATCAAATTTGTTTACTTCATATATATTGAATTGATATAGCTGGAATGTTGATACATAAAGTGTATGAAATAATCAGACTTACTCAAAGAACAGTCACTTTCTGAACTACCGTCACCAGGTGCCACTGTTTTCCCAGTAGGACAGTTAGAACACATTGAAACATTTCCTCCAGGGCTGTATGTTCCTTCTTCACATGGTGTACATCTATCCACTTTGTCAAGGTAGTTGCCACCTTCACAGGGATCTGAGGTTGAACAAATTATTATCTTATAACTCTACTATCACAGCACAGTCAGCAAAAAAAAACAAAATTAAGTGGCCACAAAGGTCGTAAGGTTCATTAATTCTATTGCGCATATTATCAGAACGTCAATCTCAATACATCTGTTTATAAACTTGTCTTTTTACACAACAATTTTATATATTGAACCTCCAGTGTTTGTTATTTGTTTTTTAAGTACAATATTAAAATTACCTGGTTGTGGCTCAGATCCACCAGATGCACGGGATGCCAGGACCACCGCCCACAATATCACCCACTTCATCACCTTCTCAATATGTGGTGTTGTGTAACTTACTGGGTGTTAGAGTGTGATTACGATAAAATGAGGGTGGAGGTTTATTATTGATGGAATAGTGTTTAACAAAGTAAACTGAAACAAGCAGGGGCACGAGGTTGTAACTATTTAAATACTAGTAGTAGTAGTAATGAACAATACAAGAACAGGCAGACGAAACTTTAAAACACTTAAATAGTACAGGGAAATCCGTCTGAAAAAATCGATCTGCTGACACACGAAGCTTTCAGAGGATTTTTGACGATTTTGAGTCCCATTAGGTGCCCTTTATGGCTGACCAACTTTTTCAAACTTTTCCACGTGGCTTAAGGCCACTTTTTGCCACTTTACCACTTTTTACCACCTTTCTTGTTTGTCGAATATCTTTAGTTGTGAACATCGTAAAAGGTTGCGAATCAATCGAGTGTGTTCATATTATCAGGAAGAAAAACTTTTGTTCCAACAATTTTTACGTCAGATAATAAGTTAATTGGATAATTATCAATTAACCAATTAGCAAAATTCTAAAAATTTTTTATTGGCTAAAAATGATCGGAATAGCTTAAAACACGGAGAAAAGTAGTTTTTAGAAAATATTTGAGAATTTTTCACTCACATTTTTTTTTCGAGACTTCGAAAAATTTCGAAAATTCAAAATTTTTTTTTCCGCCAAAAGTGATCAAATTGCATGAAACGCGGAGAAAAATGATTTTCAAAAAAAACTTAGTCAATTTTTCGTTTCAAGAATACTTAAATCACCAATATTTGTAGTTGGAGTTTAGTAAATCTCGGCAGATTTTTAGTAATAATCAGGAATTACTAACTCTAAGTGGAAAGGTCTGAAACTGAAAAACGTTAAGTTTAACCATACGATCGCGATATACGAGTTTCATAACTAATTACAATACAGCCTTATCGATTTTCACAGAAACTGCACCAATGGCACAGTCAAGATCGAAACGATAGCCTGCTGTACTGTCATTTTATTGATTTCAATGATGAATCAGTGGGGTTAAGATTTGTAATAAATAAAACCTCTCTGTACCGTCAATTGTGCTAATCTAAACCGGCCTACCTGTATTACCAGACCTCTTCTTTTCCTCAACAATCAAACCGAGTTGTTCATATCGCATTTGGTGGGTGATGTAAACTAAGTAGTAATACATATCGAGCTATATTCAATCACAATACGACACAATGCAACACGTGTATATTATATTATGGCCCTTAATGAGGTATATGAAATGTTCTATACCGTACACTTCTCGTTTCTCCCGTGAGAGGCCCGATATGGAGAGGTTTTACAGTTTATCACGAAAATGTCTACTTGGTCTCATGGCTCTTTGACAGCTCAAAGAAGGCAAGAAAAGACCAAAAAGCTTAGAATGTCAACTCGCAAGAGCGGGCTACCGGACAACTGAACCCAATTTAGACATTTAGATTAACCCTAACTCTAACCCTAACCCTAACCCTAACCCTAACCCTAACCCTAACCCTAACCCTAACCAATTAAGCTGATTGGTTAGTGGGAACTAGGTTCAATTGGGTTCAGTTGTCAGTCTTCGATCTGTCCCACATTAATCCCGAGCTGATCATCATGGGCCCCGAATATCCTGCGGGAAGAACCTGTATTTTTACTTCACGACGTCCGGATTTCAAATCAACATCCTCAATAACATTAACAATCCTTAATGGATCGTTAATGTTGGAAGGTGTATTTACACTTGCTTCCTGGACCTGGCTGTTCCTCAGTTTCCCTGATCTGTTCTTGCCCTTCTTCGAAATGTAAATGGGCCATGAGACCAAGTAGACGTTTTCGTGATAAACTGTAAAACCTCTCTATACCGGGTTTCTCACGGTATAAAGCGTTTCATAAACCTCATTAAGAGCCATATAATATACACGTACTGTGTCGTATTGTGATTGAATATAGCTCGATATGTATTACTACTTAGTTTACATCACCCACCAAATGCGATATGAACAACTCGGTTTGATTGTTGAGGAAAAGAAGAGGTCTGGTAATACAGGTAGGCCGGTTTAGATTAGCACAATTGACGGTACAGAGAGGTTTTATTTATTACAAATCTTAACCCCACTGATTCATCATTGAAATCAATAAAATGACAGTACAGCAGGCTATCATTTCGATCTTGACTGTGCCATTGGTGCAGTTTCTGTGAAAATCGACAAGGCTGTATTGTAATTAGTTATGAAACTCTTATATCGCGATCGTATGGTTAAACTTAACGTTTTTCAGTTTCAGACCTTTCCACTTAGAGTTAGTAATTCCTGATTATTACTAAAATCTGCCGAGATTTACTAAACTCCAACTACAAATATTGGTGATTTAAGTATTCTTGAAACGAAAAATTGACTAAGTTTTTTTTGAAAATCATTTTTCTCCGCGTTTCATGCAATTTGATCACTTTTGGCGGAAAAAAATATTTTGAATTTTCGAAATTTTTCGAAGTCTCGAAAAAAAAATGTAAGTGAAAAATTTTCAAATTTTTTCTAAAAACTACTTTTCTCCGTGTTTTAAGCTATTCCGATCATTTTTAGCCAATAAACAAGAATTTCGCCGCGGTTACACCACGCACGATTAATTTTCCCTGCTTAAACCGTTAACATTTGCAACTAAACGAAAATATAATTTTATCGATTAATAAAAATTAGATATTGGATTATTTTGTTGTTAAAAAGTTGCAATATTTTCATCGTAATTTGTCATTGCGCGCGTGCAGAATAATCGAATATTTAGTACGCCGCGCACAAACTTTGGGCTAATTTAATTTGAACGGCATCGTTTGACAATTGAAATTCGCGTTGGATACTGCAATTAACTAACACATGCCGAGCGTCGCGCGCAGCATAACAGACGCTTCCTATACTCATAATTATAGGGGAGTGGTCTATATTGCGAAGGAGCAGACTTTTGTCGTCAACGTAGGACCGTCGGGCCACCTCATATATCCAAACCCGATTACTTATTCCCTACGATCTTTTTGCCTTCGGCAAGAGCAGGGAAAAAATTTTTTAGAATTTTGCTAATTGGTTAATTGATAATTATCCAATTAACTTATTATCTGACGTAAAAATTGTTGGAACAAAAGTTTTTCTTCCTGATAATATGAACACACTCGATTGATTCGCAACCTTTTACGATGTTCACAACTAAAGATATTCGACAAACAAGAAAGGTGGTAAAAAGTGGTAAAGTGGCAAAAAGTGGCCTTAAGCCACGTGGAAAAGTTTGGAAAAGTTGGTCAGCCATAAAGGGCACCTAATGGGACTCAAAAACGTCAAAAATCCTCTGAAAGCTTCGTGTGTCAGCAGATCGATTTTTTCAGACGGATTTCCCTGTACTAAAAGATGTTTTGAACGATTTAAGGTGGTAATCGAAAGTAAGATAATATTGGGGGTCCCCCCCCCCCCCCCACATGCACTCGAACAACAGATACAAAGAAGGCAGCGAATGTCCCTCTCTTCTCGTGGTCCAGGGGGATAATAACATTGTTCCTAAGGTAATGTTAGTCTAGCCCGGTCATTGGTAGGAGGGAACCACGTGACCTCGAGTTAAGACCACGTGACCTCGAGTTAAAACCACGTGACCTCGAGTTAAGACCACGTGACCTCGAGTTAAGACCACGTGACCTCGAGTTAAGACCACGTGACCTCGAGTTAAGACCACGTGACCTCAAGTTAAGACCACGTGACCTCGAGTTAAGACCACGTGACCTCGAGTTAATACCACGTGACCTCAAGTTAATACCACGTGACCTCAAGTTAAGACCATGTGACCTCGAGTTAAGACCGCGTGACCCGCGCTAACTCTTGTTAACGATTTAACGGTTCTGTTTTCACTGTACCCGTCTGAATAATGAGCCTGCTTGTGGTAACGGTTTTATAGGTCCTTACCCTCGCTCTTCTTTATAGCACCAGCTTTATTTTTAACTATTGCCAGTATAGTAAATAGCACCATGACAAATACAGACTGAGCTGTATAGTAAAGCCAGGAACTATAACGGGGGGGGGGGGCAATGGCATAAAATGGCATAAATGGAGAATTACTCAAGGGTTTTTCAATTTTCTCCATAGAAAAAGTTTCCATTTTATGCCTGCAAGTTAGGGTAATTCCCGTACTCAACCCTAGACAGTCTGACTCTTGGAAACTACGTGCATTGAGACACATTTAGTAAATTACCCTGATGTTGCAGCTATAAACTAAAAGCACCTTTCCTAAGATAAAGGGTGGATGCAGTCAGTCAAGCCACAAATCTTTTTAGTGTCAGTAGCTGATACAATATAGTGCTGTTCATATTATGTCACTGTAGGATCAGAAACATTGTTACTGGTTACTGGTTACTGGTTACTGGTTACTGGTAACTGGTAACTGGTAACTGGTAACTGGTAACTGGTTACTGGTTACTGGTTACTGGTTACTGGTTACTGGTTACTGGTTACTAGTTACTATTTACTGGTTACTGGTTACTGGTTACTGGTTACTAGTTACTAGTTACTGGTTACTGGTTACTGGTTACTGGTTACTGGTTACTGGTTACTGGTAACCAGTAACATCTGATCTACCCTCATACTTTGCTTTGATATACGATACAGATGTAACAACTTGTAGCAGTTACTTTGTAGCTACTTTTGATAATAGTAATGTGATGAAAGAAAAGAGAAGGCAGATAAATAATTAAGGTTTTCAGTTTAACATGCTGTTAAGGGACTAGTTTAATGGGCGAAGAAGTAATAATCTATGTTTTAAGTCACTAAAAGTTTCATTATTTTGGTGGTAACATTCTCGTCTCAATGATGTCTGGTTGTTGTCTCAATGTTTAAAATCAATATTAAGATGTTGTCGCGCTGGTATTGTCTTACTAACCCACTTCCCACAGATGTGTACAGGGAGGTACCACAGCCATCCCCGGAGCGTTTGGGTGCGGTAAGACGGTAATCTCGCAAGCCTTGTCCAAGTACAGTAACTCTGACATCATCATCTATGTGGGGTGCGGAGAGCGGGGTAACGAGATGGCGGAGGTGCTGCAGGAGTTCCCTGAGGTAAGTCACGTGATTACCATATACGGGCATGTCACGTGATTACCATATACGGGCATGTCACGTGATTACCATATACGGGCATGTCACGTGTCTTTATTAATTAATTCATATTTTCGCCTATTTATTATCTGATATAAGTTTAGAGGATCTCCTTATTTCTGCTCCCCTTGAAACCCCATTCCCTTTTTAGCTGGAACTGGAGCTGAGGGGAGAAGTCCATAACATCATGAAGAGGACTTGCCTGGTAGCCAATACGTCCAATATGCCTGTCGCTGCCAGAGAGGCTTCTATTTACACAGGTCTGTCATCCTTGCAGTTTCTTTATTAAATTAATCAATAAATTGAAATAAACAAATGTTTTGATCGGTTTATTCTTCTTAAGTTAAAAGTTCGTAAACTCACAGTCTTAGCTGTAATCAGAAGTACTATAATATTTAGGACATCATTTAGGAGGATTTAGCAAACCAATTTGATCAATCATCAAATATAATATCTAATTAAAATACGTTATATTCACGTGACAACCATGATGGGTTAAAAATTATTACTTTCGTGAACAACTGAGCGTGCGCTGTTATTATGGTTATGGCGGATTTCTTGTTTTACGTTTATTAACTAAATATTATTAACTAAATAACTATCACATAATAAAATGACACGACCATAACTCCCTCACGTGACATTAGTAATCCCCTATCAGGTATTGCTCTAGCTGAGTATTTCCGTGACATGGGAATGCACGTGTCCATGATGGCAGACTCCACCTCCAGATGGGCTGAAGCTCTGAGAGAGATCTCAGGTCGTTTAGCGGAGATGCCAGCTGACAGTGGCTATCCTGCCTACCTCGGCTCCAGGCTCGCCTCCTTCTACGAGCGTGCAGGTCGCACACGTTGTCTTGGTAACCCAGGTAGAGAAGGGAGTGTGAGTATTGTCGGGGCTGTGTCTCCTCCTGGTGGTGATTTCTCTGATCCTGTTACTAGTGCTACTCTTGGTATCGTACAGGTGAGTGTATACTGTTACTAGTGCTACTCTTGGTATAGAGAGCATTGATTTGATTTGAAACTTTTACAAAATAGCAAATATACAAATGTACAGCAAATCGAACAAACATAAGAAATGGGCCGAAATGTATAAATGCTATAAAGCGTGGGTCAGTGAAACAAGTACAGAGGACAACTTTCAAAACAGGAGTTTTATGGCCGCCCAAAGTCTCAATAACATCACCTCCACCTAGTAATAAAATTATGAAATATGAAAAGTGTGAAACAATCAAATAATAAAATATTCAAATTATATAGTTGTCTCTTAAATACAGATAACGTCCGAAAATTCTTAAAATACTCATCACTCCTTCATATACTGATAAGTGTCCAAGAGACATGAATAACTCATGATGACTTCTTATCACGGCTACATACCTTCCCGTACCGGATGTAGTGGTCGAGATGAGTCTGTTCAGCCCTCTTCTTCTTCAGGTCAATGACCAGATGCTTCCTTGTTGCTCGTTCTTCGCTGGATCTGTCTGGACATATCCATACATCTTTGTGCGTCTCCCTCAGTCTCCCTGTTTTCATCAGAATCTGATGAACCGCTGTTGAGCTTGGGACGGTGACCTTGACTGGTCGGATAGCCGTACTACCTGGCCTCTTCCAACCGACTCTAGTCGCTTCGAAGTGAGGTTTCTCCCCGATCTCCTCCAAAACTGCGGTAACTAGCGCTGGAAGCTGTTCTTCCTCCTCTTCTTTCAACCCAAACACGATCAGGTCCTTGCTCCTGTCCTCCTCTGCAGCCACACTCTTCATCACCTTCTTCAGGATGTTACTGTTGCAGACCGTACCACTTGCACTGTTCTGTTGAACAGCTGCACTATAGTTCTGAATCCACCGTTGTTTGCACTGTCTCCTCAACAGATGTCTTAAGCAACTGTAGTTGTTCGTCCTTCTGCACAAGCAGCTGGCCCTGCAGCCTGATCACCTTTTCTTTGTCTGCTAGTGCTTCCGTCTTGAAGCACTCGATGATCTCCTTCAAGAGATACATCTGACTATTCTGCCGACGAACAAGGTCCACTGCATCCACAATCCAGCAAGACAGAGTCTGTTTATCCTTAGTCTTGATCTTTTCACGACTTTCGAAATCAATTTCACTGTAGTCCATATGCAGGTCTTTTCCTAACTTAATGGACCATCTTTCAACACAGCCTTCCACATCTTCCTGTTTATCATAGTTGAACTCCTTAATCAACTCCTGGGATCGGGTCAAAGTTGAGTCATCCGCCATAGTGTACTTGTATAGTAATGTACAAGTACACACGCAAAGGTAAACTACGCGGTAGCAGCAAACTGAACTTATCGCAAATTTACAAAAGATAAGAGAGCTCGATATTTGCAACACAAGCTACACTGATTACACACACATTTGTAGAGCGGTAATTGGTTTAATTAATCCTTCTCACCAGGGAAACGAAAATAGTTTGGTAATAATAAAATGTGTGGAAAACAGCTTTTAGGTGTTACTACGGAATCTAGACTTGAAACATATTTTCGTGAGCGCTAATTGTCGCAAATTTCTAAAAATTAACCATCTTCACAGCATACATTTTTAAGAATGTTTGTTCCTTAAAAACACTCCGAAAATTAAGGGTTTTACAGTACATTGCTATAATAAACTTGCAGTTAGCTTGCGTCATTATAGAGAGAAGCTGTTATGCAAACGGAGCAGTTCGGAACCTTTTCTGTATAAAACGCGAATTAAAGCTTAAATCAGAGGACAGTCGTCACTCAGATGAAAAATGGTAACCCTCCTCCCCAATTCGTCAAACAAATAAAACACAGTTATCCGGTTTTTTGAACTCACAATTAATGCAGATTCTGAAATAACTTCTGCACGATTGTATAGCAAAGTGAAATGTCTTTTTTTTTGGTTTTTTGTTTTTTATCTTTTTTCTTTGGTTTTGTCTCTTTTAACTTTTTTTTTGTATTTATAATATGTTAAGATAATATATTGAATGATAATACACAAGAATAGAATATCCGCATTCCTCGTGTGTTGATACAATTGATTCTTTCGTATCTCTCTAGCTCTTTGTTTGCTTCTTCCTTTTCTTGTCCTTCTTTATCTATGTCCCTTGAAAGAATGCATCATCCAAATTCCATCATTGACAATCTAGTATTTACTCCAATGCCAACCAGGTTTAGCTTTGTGTACTTGTTGTACAATATTTGTATGTCACGTGGTTATCCTTTCAGCTCACGTTATCTTTCCTCATAACGACACCGTTCTGTGGGTTTTTGGGGTTAAGTTTAAGAGAAAACTACTTGTTGAGATATAGATAATTTTAATGTTAGATTTAATATAAAATTAAATTCGTGTAAGATGCTAACCTGAATAACGAAAGGATTTGATTTCAGAGGAGATTCGTACAGGATAGCCCCGTCACTTTTTCTTTGTATTTGAAGGATAGGGTCTGGGCTCTGAAAATGTTCTGCGACAAGAGCTTCGTTTTTCTTTTGGAGTTTTTTGTTGGCAATGATAGTCCAATAGTTGAGACTCTTAGGTTTGCCGAATATGGACCTCCTTTTCCTGACTGCTCCTGGTCGGAACATGATCTTCTTCGCATGTTTTGGCGGGGGAGTTTGTGTCGCTAATCGAGCGTTCTTATTTCTTGGTTGTTGACGCCGAGCAGTCGCTAATGTGGACTTTGCTTCTGGACGTCGGATCTTCGGATCATTAAGCTGGGACGTGGTAGAGAGCTTTTGAGGGGCCAATGTTACTTTATTAGGTGAGAGTTTGGGAAGACACTCTTTAGGAGGCACTGGGGTGACAGGAGAGGGGTTTGGTGGGAGGATGGTGGGAGTCGAGGATATAACATCATCCCTTTCCACTTCGATACACAGCGAGTCTCCCTTATTTTCTATTTTCAGGTTCTCTTCTTTCGCAGTATTCGTCTGGTCCGTTTTCCTTTTTTCCGTCAATCTTCTTTCCCTCGCAGACGACAGCTTATTAGCTTTGGTAAGCTTGGATCTGGTGATTTCAGGACTCAATGTGGACATTATTTCGTCTAAATCGACAAGAACTCTTTCGGCTTCTGATTGTACTTCCTGGTTCTTAATCTTGTGTTTAGGAGGTGGTCTGCGTGAAGGTTTCTTGAAAGGTTTCTTTACCGTAGTCTCCGGACATAAAATGGGCGATGTTTCTTTATTTTCGTATTGTTCCATCTTCCGTGTATCCCGACCAATCTCCTCCATTTCGTGACAAGATGTTTCATTGTCTAGCTTCTCTTCACCAAAAGACAGTGAAACGCTATCCGATTCTTTGAATTCGTATGGTGACCATTTTGCTTTTTCGTCCCCGGAAATGAAAACAAGTTCACCAGGTTCAAGATCCTGAGGGATAAACTTGTATTTGTTGGGCCAGATGAGCTTCTTCTGATGTTTGGGGAAAGGATAGTGACACTTCACCAACTCTCCTGTGCTCAACTCCGTGTCTGATACGTCCATGGCCGGGTAAATCTGAAACAAACTTGTGGATAACTTGTCTAATTTAAGCATCATTTTTGTCCGTCAAATTTAGTAATTTAGAAATTGGGGCGTTAAAATTAGTCAGAGAAATGTGATCATGACCGTCCTAAAAAGGGGGAGGACTGTACCTTTAAAGTAGTCCCCTTGTTCCTCTCGTTACGGCTTCTCAGGGGTCGTCTTCTTCGTTTTCTTTGCGAAACTTTCTCCATGCTGGTCATCTTCGCTAGCGGGTGTTCTTTTTGAGCTTCCTTCAGTCTCATAAGCATACGCTGCTTGTGATAGTTCTTTGGTTTAAAGTCGATCTGACTATGTGATTTTACTATTTCTTGATCTTCTTCTGGTTTCATTTCTTCCCGTAGTCCACTTTCGAGATCTTTGTTAATGCCGTTATCTTTTTCTAAAAGTTTTGCTAGTTCTGAAATCTTCTTCGTGGTCTTTACAAAGAATCCGAGCATCAAACATGCTAGCAGGATGGAAGATAAAACAGCTATGAAACTGAGTATAAAAGCAACTTTTATTGCGAGGTCATCAGATCCGGCGATTTCTAGGTCTTCCTCAATAAGCGATGTCGAAGTAGAATTGCTGTCGGTGACATTCAGTGAACGTGGAACTGGAGCAGCGGAGAGCGGCACTGTGAGTGCCCAGATGAATAGGATAATCCTGGTCATCGTTGTGTTTATGAAAGTTTGCGAATGTATAACTGTTAACAGTGACAGTGATTGCAACGAATGTTAATGGAAAAGTAAGAATTTGATCGCGTGTACAAGACATGCGCGAACAGTGAAATAAACTGCGCCATGGTAACCACGACGCACACGTGCCGAATCGCGCGACGGTATGATCAGTGCGCCTTGCGCGCTGATTTAACTAGATTTATTAGTTGACGACTCATGTCATCACTAACCTCCCAAAATCTCCGCGAAATACTACCACATATCAGATATGTCATAACTCTCTTTCTTGTGGCGCAATCTATTTCTATAGTTCTATAATTGTATCGACAAAAGTTCGCTAAAACTTGGTCATAATTTATCACTCAATAAACAGTCTTTACTTTGCTCTGACAGCAGATCTCTATATCTGAGACAAGAGAATGACCAATCATGGATTGGTCATGTGATCTAAAAGATGAAATGTTCAGGTGTTCTGGGGTCTGGACAAGAAACTAGCTCAGAGGAAACATTTCCCGTCTGTTAATTGGCTGATCAGTTACAGCAAGTACAAGATGACACTCGATGATTACTACGAGAAGAATTACCCAGAGTTTGTATCTCTGAGAAACAAGGTACGGTTGTTACCTTTTTTCCGGAATTTAGTTCTCCGCAGAGTGACAAATCTTGATTTTGTTTTTAATTTAAATGTTTAATTTCATAAAAACCTCAAACACAAACAGGTGTCTGAGATTCTCCAAAATGAGGAGGACTTGTCTGAAATTGTGCAGCTGGTGGGTAAATCTTCGTTGGGAGAGACTGATAAGATTTGCTTGGAGATCGCTAAACTGATCAAGGACGATTTCTTGCAGCAGAACGGATTTACTGATTATGATCGAGTGTGTCCATTCTATAAAACAGGTCTGTCAATAAACGATAATATTTCATATAAATGAGGTGTTTAGGGTCGAGCTACGTTATCAATTGTTTTAATTATTAATCGAGGATGTTTTATTTCTGACTGCATCACTTGCCATAAACAGAACATCCGTAACGGGAAGGCTACAAATAGGGAGAAAAACATTTAGCTTCCTCCTCCCGAAGTAAACTCTCTCCCAATTCTAGTGGGCATGATGTCCCCCCCCCCCCCCCCCCTGAAGTAAACTGTCCTGAAGTAAACTCTCTCCCAATTCTAGTGGGCATGATGTCCCCCCCCCCCCCCCCCCCTGGTAAACTCCTCCCAAATTTTAGCGGGCATGAAATGGGGCCCCCCCAATAATTCCCCCC